TAATATGTCAGAGAAGGCTGCATCTTACCCTTTTCGCAAACACCCCGCGACATCGCTGACTTGCAGTGACCCCTTCATATAATTTTCATTCTATTTTGCCCTTTTATGCCCATGTGTTTTAGCAGATAAACTCAACATCTCCACTTGCATCTCCAACATGCCGAGCTGCATCTCCAACATAACCGAGCTGCATCTCCAACATGCCGAGCTGCATCCCCAACATAACCGAGCTGCATCTCCAACATGCCGAGCTGCATCCCCAACATAACCGAGCTGCATCTCCAACATGCCGAGCTGCATCCCCAACATGCCGAGCTGCATGTCCAACATGCCCAGCTGCATCTCCAACATGCCGAGCTGCATCTCCAACATGCCGAGTTGCATCTCCAACATGCCGAGTTGCATCTCCAACATAACCGAGCTGCATCTCCAACATGCCGAGCTGCATCTCCAACATAACCGAGCTGCATCTCCAACATGCCGAGCTGCATCTCCAACATGCCAAGTTGCATCTCCAACATGCCGAGCTGCATCTCCAACATGCCAAGTTGCATCTCCAACATGCCGAGCTGCATCTCCAACATGCCGAGCTGCATCTCCAACATGCCGAGCTGCATCTCCAACATGCCGAGTTGCATCCCCAACATAACCGAGCTGCATCTCCAACATGCCGAGCTGCATCTTCAACATATTCCGCATAATAGGGACACACATGCAGAATTGTAAAAATTGAAAATGTCAAATATCAAAATAGATCGGGTAAAACCATGCATAAATTTGTGATATTTTACAGAATGTGGCTACAACATTGATATATAAAAATTTGAAAGATTGAATGGTGCATAACACTGAAAAATGTATACAAAAAATATAAATCTTATAAAAATGGGTAAAAATATGTGCAACATTATTTACATGATTGTAACAATGAGTATTTACACAGCGTTGAGATTATGATAATCATTTATATTTAATAACTCACATGGCCTCCACAAATTACGAAACTGTTCTTCTGATCAATTGTAACAAAACAAAAATTAAACTTCCCAGCAAATATTGTACAGTAAATCATGTATCAGTTCACCACATGCTGTCTACAGAAAGTAGCATCGAAGTGTTTAGTAACAGTGGTGAAGTCATTCACTTTGAGAATGTGCTCCCAGTTATTTCAGGATTGTTAGCTGGTACTACAGATTTGTAGATGATATTCTTGAAAGAATATCTTCTCCATATCACAGTGATGTGAAAGAACTTGTGTTTCCAGACAACCGACTGAGAACAGGTCTGTAATGTATTGAGGCCCCTTCATCCCGTGCATCATTCTCAATATCAGCAGTAAAAATCTTGAAAATGAACTGAATGATTGACACTCAAAGGTTAAAGGATATGATATAATTTCACACCTGGTGTACAAACTAAGAACATTTTAAAATATTGAATTTAAGAAATATCTAAAATGCAGTAAATGAAAATAACACATTCTAGAAAATGCCTAAAAAATAAAACAAAATATTTTTTTGTAATTAAAGCTTTGCATACTCTATTGAAACAATTTCTAACGCTATCCATAATCTCCTTAGCCCTCAAATTGCATCAAAGAAGGAATGAACATCTCGTTAATGTTCAATAAATGTTGAAAAGTTTGTGCACCATAAAAAAAGTCACACATGACCAATAAAACATTTCTTCAATACGTAAAGATTCATATGATGAAATTTAAAATTTAATAGGCAACATGAACATTTCCAAATGTTTATAATTTTGTGCAGTGTAAAGGAAGAATCACAGATGGCAAAAAGACACAACACTCAGTGTTATCATAATATATATAGTCAAAATAGTTTGCAAATATACTGATGGAAAAAATAACGGAACATATACTCATCAAAGAAGTTAAAGAACACCTGATTCTTTCATATTACTAGAGTTAATCTGTCATGCCATAGTAATATGAAAGAATCATGTGTTCTTTATTTATTTTGAGTAGTATATGTCAGTCATGTGTTTGTGATTGTTAATTGTCACACATTACATTTGAATGTTTCACTTGGGGCCTTATTGCATTCATACGAAGCATTTAACCGAATGCATATGGAGCCATTCTCTTCTATATTTTGGTGTTCCCTTATTTTTTAACATCAGTATATGTCATGTCACCAGAATTATGAATAAGCTGTAACAGTCATTAAGTCCTCTGAAAACCTATTTCGATATGTAAAGTCAAATTTTGCATATTCAGAGCATCTTTGACTGGAAAATAGAAGCAATTGGTTCCCAGGCAACTTTTCAGAAGCCAGAGTTTTGAGAATGGTTTGAATGAGTGGCATGAAGTGCTTTATGAGAGACTGGCTTGTAACTTTATGTTTTGAGGCTAGAAAACCATTTTCCTTGTTTTAAGGATGTGCCTGCCCACATTTAGAAAAATGAAAAATGATTTTACGGAAAGTAAACAAGAATTAATAGGGATCTCATGCATCTTCCATTCAAGAAACTCTGTGAGGCAAGAATTCTTTGTCTGACCTTAGTCATTAATGAATTGCTGCTTCAGGGGTTTACATTTATTTCACCCAGCTAATATTACTTTAGGAAATCACTTAACACTTTACAGTAAACTACGTTTATGACGAACAAGCTCATAACGAATTGATATAACGAACTTTGTTTTTACTCCCGGACGTTTGTGGTATATATGCTGTATATATGCTTATAACAAACTACGGTTATGAACTAAAATTAGTGATCCCTTTGAGTTCATTAAAACCGTAGTTTACTGTATATATTTTTCAACAACCAATCCTAGACGTTTAGAGAAATATATCTGTTACAAGGTCATACACACAGGACCTGCTGATGCCGGGCATGCCTGGGAACCAATCATATATCATGTATATCATCATGGCCTCATGTCAAGATATATCATGATATATCATGCATTATGTACAGGACCTGAGACTGAAGGGTGTTAGTGGAACAGACAAAACAGCTGACACATCATAAATTGTCAATTGGGAAAAAAGTGTTTATCAACCAACATAATCTATTAAGAAAACTTCCTATATTTTCTTTACAATATTTAGCCTTCAATCGTGTATCACATCCTGAAAGGAAAGACTATATCACAAAATGGAAACATAGTAATTCTACTTAATCTTTTTGAAAATGCATTCCATGAATGACATGTTACTTGAATTATTATTATTATTATTATTTTTATTATTGAATATTCACATTGCTGACGAACCGTAGTTGTCACTGAAGTATAAATGTTTGTTGTATGGACAGAAAGGAAGTACATGTATTAAGTCTTTGAAAGGCATTTACAAGTGATACACATAAGGAAGAGAACTCACGGATGTCAACTTCCTTATTAGGAGGAACACAGCGTTAAGTGTTGGCTTCCATTGTCTATCCCTGGCTACCAGCTGTCCTTTTCTATCATCGCTTATAATCCATTGCTAATCACCTATCAGCACCAATTATCTGTTGGCTTCCCTTGTTAAGTTACCACCATTTGTTATCTTATTACTTTTGTTGTTCTTACAGGTACATATATATGTTCTCTGCATGCTAGCATTCAAAATTCTATATAAGCAACCCCTAAACCCCCCTCTTGGGTTGCACAGACAACTTTCGCCCCTTTCGGAAACACATTAAATGGCCTGGCCGGGCCCGTGTGCGAAATACGCATCAGTCGGAAAGCGCACGTTAAATCTCCAAAGTAAGTAAGTAAGTAAGCTAGTATTCATCCACATGATGAAGGAGTAAGCATATACTCCAAACCGTTGTGTTCCTCATAATAAAGAAGTTGACATCCATAAATTATCTTCCTTATAAAAGAGTGAGTGAGTATGGTTTTACGCCGCTTTTAGCAATATTCCAGCAATATCACGGCGGAGGACACCAGAAATGGGCTTCACACATTGTACCCATGTCGGGAATCGAATCCAGGTCTTCGGCGTGACGAGCGAACGCTTTAACCACTAGGCTACCCGACCGCCCCCTTATAAAAGAAGCATGTGGTTATTTTCTCACAAGAAAAGACAGTAACTACTAGAGTTGCTTTGAAATCAATTGAAAAAAACAAACACAATAATGTTCATATTCAACAATTTCAAATGAGTTTTCCTGGCACTGACTTCCTTAGCTCTAGAGTGAGCCATGTGGTTTCTATGGTTATATACAGAGATGGTAGAGAGGGATGATTGAGGGTTTAACAGAATTATCACAAGTTTGAGAACCTTTCCCATGTTACTAATCGTTACAGACCCATGCTAGGATTCTCTACTCCAGCTGCATGTCATGATATAAATGACCACACTTTCCAAGTTGCAATCACAATATACATTCACGACCTTCCTTGGTTCAGAATCTTCTATCCTTTCTACAGATGCTAGCAATATTTCAGTGATGAAGCACACACAGAGTTTTGGGGAGAAAAAATCTGTTACAAACTGCTCAACATAGCTAGGCCCTACTGATACGAGCGGCGCCTTAGAACCTATCATATATCTACATAGCCTCATCTCCTGATATTGGAAGTAATTAAATATCCATAGATTAGGATTTGATTGTTTGTTTGTTTTGTTTTGTTTTGTTTTGTTTTGTTTTGTTTTGTTTTGTTTTGTTTTGTTTTGTTTTGTTTTGTTTTGTTTTGTTTTGTTTTGTTGTTTAACTCTGCACTCAGCAATATTCCAGCTATATGACGGCGGTCTGCAAATAATCGAGTCTGGACCAGACAATCCAGTGACTGATGTCATGAGCATCGATCTATGCAATTGTGATACGATGACATGCATCAAGCAAGTCAGCAAGTCTGACCACCCACAGATAAGAAGGATGGCTAACACTCATTGCATTTGGCCATGGTTAGGGTCAGTGATGAAACATGCAGCATTTGGGGGGCCCTTGCTCACAGAAGATGGGAACTGCATTGAATAGGGTAATATAACTCTAGAAGCAGCCTGAAATTCAGAAAAAAATTTTTTTTTCATTTTATCTGATTTAAATAACCAGTGCTAAAGAGACTGAAAATTTTCTCTCAGCTACAACACACAGATCAATGAAAGGCCTACTTTAGTGTAGATTAGAAAAAGATAGAAAATTGAAGAAACACTGATACAAGACTACAGTCTAGTACATAAGGTTCAATGTATGATATGTTACAAATAAACTAAACAATAGCATGCTGATTATTATGTAAAATAATTTTCAAGCACAAGCTGTTTATAATACGCTTGTAGAAGGCTAATAAATTAAACACTGCACTAGTGTACTCAAACTAGTTGTTCTAAATGTGAGAATATTGTTGAAAGGATTATTAAAAAGATTAACACCCTGTTGATTAATAATGTGCTGAATCAACCAAGAAGCTATATGCTGATTATGAAAATCGATGTCATGTTATTTTGATTTAAGCATTTCTTCAGTCACTGTCTTCTACTTATGGCAAGATGTCACATGACATTTGTCTATGCTAATTCTCACATGCAATGAATCAAAGAAATCACGTTCATGCTTGAAGAGGAAGGGGGGAAAGAAAAAATCTGGGAGGACAAACTGAAATCTCTATTTGTTCATGGGACGGGTCTTGAAGCATAATGGACAGTTGTTTCTTGGTTGAACATTAGATATTGTTTACAAATTTAACATAGAGTCAGACATGACAATAAAATTGGACTTGGTTTCGGGGATTATCACAAACATATTTAGCGCTTACAGACAATGGGAGTATCATTTTTTTTGCTTTATTTTGGCTAATCATATCTGACTTTTATCAGACATACATAATATTTCTGATAATTGAAATTAAGTCATAAATAATGCAGTATTCATTACTGATGGAAAGGCAGATTATACCATACTCCAGTAGTTACATTCATTAATCAATGTCTTCAACTTGCTGGGTATAGAACAATTGGTATCGTAATATTGTTGAGTAGGATCGATAAAAAAGTAAATACCATCCGGAGTATAATACTAATCAATACTGTTACTCCCCTGCATGTGACATTGATGTGATCATATTCTAAATATCTACCTACTGAAAAAATGTGCATGACCAGGTAAGCTCCAAGCTTGTCCATTTACAATCAGCAGTAAATCTAAAGCAATAGATTAAAAACAATCGGTGTCATTTTGGTTTCCTCACTGTCTTGATTCTGTTCTGAGAAGATGACTGAAACATGCCAGCATTACGTTCAGACTTTTATATCTCATGGTCAGGTGAGCTAAAAATCACAGATGGCACGCAACATTAATGGCTGACGGTCTTACACATCTATGTCCGTAACAAGGACCTGCGCAGATGCTGAACTTGGAGTATTTCCAGAACTGCTCGGTCGAGAATTTACCACACTTCCTGGAACTACATTGGGTGAAAGGTCAACACCCTTTGGGCGAGGATGAACCTCTGATATCACTACACTCCCTGGGCGTGATGCACCCCCAGTGTGATGGTCGCCTCCTTGGTTAACCACTCCCCTACTTTTGTTTGTACTTGCACTATTTTTACTAGTCCCCGACTTGGTGTCTGTGTCAAGGCTTGGTGTGGACACAGAGCCCTCTAGTGACACAGTGCTGTCTGTGCCCACGGTTCTAGGGGAGACAACTGCTGTCTCTGACACGGGACTTGGGTTCTTCTCTGTCTTGGAGGTGATAATGCTACCATTAGGCATGTTCTTCATCTCCAGGTTATCCCCATTCTTGAGCAGCAGGGCGGCAGCGTTGGATCCATTACTGTCAACAGAGCTGCCCGGCTTGACCGTTCCATTCTTGCTCGGACGTCGCTTGATGAACACAGACTTGACCCTGCAGAAGGTGAAAGGTTACAATTGTTTCTGTCAATGAACTGCTGGTGTTAACAGTTTAAACAAAATATTACCAATAGGTGTTTGTTTGTTGTTGAACGTCGCACTCAGCAATATTCCAGCTATATGACGGCGGTCTGAATCCAGTGATTGACATCATGAGTCCACGCTCTAGTCGAGTGTATACAGTTTAAACAAAATATTACCCTTTAATTGAAATTTGCCATGTTATCTTAAGACCAGTCATATCGAAGGGAAAGAGTGGTGATGACAAGTCCATATCTCACTGAATAAAAAGGAGAAGCTTCGCGTGAAATTAAAATGTTTAATTTCTGTTGGCCTCACACAATGGCAGTTCCAAATGAAAATACATCTCTTTGTAGTAAGCCAGATGACTATTGGTTTGTTTGTTTGTTTGTTGTTTAACGCCGTACTCAGCAACACTCCAGCTCTATGACAATGGTCTGTAAATAATCAAGCCTGGACCAAACAATCCAGTGATCGACACCATGAGCATCGACCTACATAATAGTGATATGATGACATGCATCAAAAGGTCAACAAGCCTGACCACCTGATCCCGTTAGTCGCCTCTTACAGCAAGCATGGGTTGCTGAAGACCAATTCTAACCTGATCTTCATTCGGTACTATTGGTGGTTGTGTCTCTCTGTATAATTGTTCTGTGTGATCTTGTATTGATCTCACTTGAGTGAAACTGTTGAGGCAGTATAACCTCCAACATTTCCTGTATATCAGATGGATGCTCAGAAGGAATAAAGGAAAATGTTCAAGAACTTACTTGTAGATAGCTTTGTTGATCAGACCTTTTGGTGGCCTGAAATTACAAAACCAACCTTGATTCTCAGACAGTAAGACATATTAAGTCAACACACAAGTCACAAGTCCATAATATATCGCTCAAAAAAGGTTAAGGACCACCTGATTCTTTCATATATATTTTCATATATATGCCATGACATATTAACATGTACTACTATGAAAGATTCACATGACCTCCACTCTTTTTTTATTAGTATACATGGGTGTACAAAATATTCTTACATACATGTATTATAATGTTAACAATATAAATAAATGGTACAAAGCAACATTATATTTACCAATCAGTTATCTAGTATTTTTCCTTAATGATATCTCATTACAAAATGATTTGTCTGCTATGAGGGAGATAATTCTGTCAGACAAAGTTTGTCCCCTCTTGAATGTTAAGGATACTCACCCATTTCCAAATATGCTGTCAAATTCATCTCTGAAAAAGCAGAATAAAAACCATTGGATGATATTAATTAAAGAAATGTACACTTAACTGTAATTCCTTTAAATGTAGACCACTTTTGTACACAAAGGCCTGAGGCCTACAAGTACTGAATAAATACATTGAAAAGATCAGTTGAAAATCTTATTGAATAACCAAAGGATAGCCATAGTTTTGCAGCAGGAGTTAGTATGAAGTATGAACTGGTTGATGCGAAACATCTTACTTACATATAAGCAACAAAAACCCTTCCCATAAACCAACAAAAATTCTGCTAAAGACAAAGTCCATTTTACAATTCTGATTGTGTCATATAGTAACAAATGTTATTTGGGGGATAACACTTTCTTAGCAAAGTACAGATTCCAGTATTTTGGGGGGGTTGAGTCCCGTCTGGGATTTGAACCCACTGTGTGTTCATATAGTGTTAACGTTGATACCGGGTGTTTGTGAGATGCAACATGGTATTCTATCTATCCAGGAATAAATTACTGGGGATGTGCAGGTACGTAGTATTCTAGGTTCCCACAAGGCTGTGTATCTGTAATGATATACAACATGCTGGCTGTAAAGAAAAGATTAGGCCCAAGGGGTATGATTTGTTTGTTTGCTTGTTGTTTAACTCTGCACTCAGTAATATTCTAGCTACTGTAAATCATGAAATTAATGCATCTCCAAAAGAATGCGATCGCTGGGCCCTAGCCAAAAATGCGATTCAAAATGAATGTGACACCCCCCTCCTCTCAAGCATCAGTGGATATATATCTAAAGAAAATTTCCTCTGTCAGGTTTACGGGGCGGTCGGGTAGCCTAGTGGTTAAAGCGTTCGCTCGCCATGCCGAAGACCCGGGTTCGATTCCCGACATGGGTACAATGTGTGAAGCCCATTTCTGGTGTCCCCCGCCGTGATATTGCTGGAATATTGCTAAAAGCGGCGTAAAACCATACTCACTCACTCACTCTGTCAGGTTTACAGGAGAACCCTCACCTTAATCCAACCTTACATAAATCCAATCACACACCAAATACCACCGCTTATTAGCGCTAAGTAGAGTCCTTCCACTCAAACAATACATGCTCGCTGGCTCGTGCCGGCCTTTGATGCAGTCACAAAGAACAAAGACACCGTGTTGTGTGGGTGGCGTCTGTCTGGACTTGCAGGTGTGATCAGTGATGACATTAGTGAGTAGAACTCTTGTCTTGACCCCAGCAGTGACAATTCCCAGGATGTAATTAGTGTTTGAATGACATTGTTTATATACTTGTTACAAGTGCTGCTCAATAAACAGTGATGTGGAATACGTAGTTGTTTGTTTTCAGCGTATCATACTATGTCTAACTTGGTATTTCTGCTATCCAAAATGTCTTATTGTTGATATAAATGCGATGTTTAATAATGCGAGCAAAGAACACTCGCATTTTTCGCATTTAATTCACGCTCGCGTTAATTTCAAGATTTACAGTATATGACAGCGGTCTGTGAATAATCGAGTCTGGGCCAGACAATCCAGTGATTGACATCATGAGCATCCATTCATGCAATTAAGATAGATGACATGCATGAACCAAGCCAGCGAGCCTGACCACCCGATCCCGTTAGTCACCTGTAACGACAAGCACAGTCGCCTTTTACGGCAAGCATGGGTTGCTGAAGACCTTTTCTACCCTGGATCTTCACGGGTCTAAGTATGAGGAATTCCTAAAAGCTAACACTTGAATTAATCCTTTGAAATAATCCCATGATATAATCCCTTGAAATAATCCCTTGATTAATTCCCTTGAAATAATCCCTTGAAATAAGCCTAGTTCAGCAAGGGTGGAAACTGGACTTTTATAGTCAGTTAACTCTCTTGCCTCGGGAAGATGGTACTTGCCTTATAATCAAGATCAATCTAACAACAGATGTTTCCTCAAATTACACAGAGACAATGTCACAACACGCAACACACTTACAACAGCAGCTGGACCTTCACGACTGACACAAACACCAGGAGACACGACAGCGTTAACTACTTACGTGGTGTCATCGCCGTCTTCATCGGGGAGATAGTACATCACGACTGACACAAACACCAGAAGACACATCAAGGTCACCGAGTTATTTCCCACCAGCATCCAATCAGCATTCTGTAAAAATACACATCTCTTGTACTTTATCTGTGTTGCCATATCTAGACTGTGAGCAGGGCATTATGCAATTGTAATTGTACTTCAGCAATATCACGGCTGGGGACACCAATCGTTGGGTGTGCACATTTCACTCACATGGAAAATTCAAGCCTGGCATTGCTGCATATTTTTAGAAATGGCAGACATCAAACTCACTCACACAGCAACTTATCGTGGCAACAATGCATTTCTAGCAGGACGTGGAGTAATCCCACAGATGAAATCCTTACCTTGTCAGCTTGCTGACGGAGTTAACCCTCTTTGGTCATGTGGACAAGGCGTCCGACCTTGGATCAGGAGGTCTGTGGTTCGAATCCCATTACTGAACTTGGACATTTTATGGCCGCTACACATTGTTCTCTACGATTTTGTTAAATTTCTGAAAGATTAGTTGTTCCTTTTGACCAGGGGTGAACACTGATAAAGATTTCAGCACCTGCCTTTGTTTTACATTGACTGAATCATGTTATGTCATCAGGAAATTTGTTTGTTTGTTTGATTATTGTTTAATCTACACTCAGCAATATTTCAGCTAGATGATGGCCGTGGGTAAATAATTGAGTCTGGACCAGACAATCCAGTGACTGACATCATGAGCATAAATCTGAGCAATCAGGAAACGATGACATGCATCAACCAAGTCAGCGAGCCTGTCCATCCGATCCCATTAGTAACAAGAAGTATGGGTGGCTGAAGACCAATTCTAACCCAGATCTTCATAGGGCAATGATTATGTTATTCTCCTAGTTATATACTGTTTAATAATTATTCAATTTAATTTTAATTTTGCAGACATTTTGCAAACATTTGCACTATAAGAGTAAATAAAATACTCACCTCAAAGTCTGACAACATATCGCAGAAGCCGTACACTAAAGCATCGTAGGCGTCGGCAACAGGTCGACAGTTCCCCAGTTCACGGATCTGGAATAACTTACAACATGTATTTCATGGCATACATGGCAGCAAGAGAGATAACTCTCATTGTGGCATTTTCACATATAGTTCTCAATCAGTACTATTAACTATCAACAGTGTTTGCCATAAAGCATGACAGTACTGATCACAGCCCTAATATTAAAAGTTCAAGATTTGGGACGTCCCTAGATTCAAATACTATAGGAGAAAATTTAAAGGATGCAACTATTGAAAATGTACCCACCATTAAAGGATCCAGTTAACCTACAAAGTTATTGCTTACATAGTTCACAGTGCGTCAAGCTTAAATCTATATACTCACAGCCAAAAGAAGCGTGAATAACATACATGTTGGTTCATATATACTGAACAACAAAAGTTCCTGTGACATTGAATAAGATTTAAAGCAAAGTTATGTTTTTTACCAAATCTGAAACAATTTCGGTTTGCAACAGATAAAAGACTCCTGTGAGTGTTCAAATGCTTAATTTGCCATACTGACTTCAGAAAATGCATGATTTAATTAAAAAAACATGAACATGCCAAAATGTCAATTTACAAATCAATAGCGTGTGTGTCCACCTCTGGTTGCGATGCAAGCAACACATCTTCGTCTCATGGAATGGACCAGGTGTCGCACAAAGTCCTGTGGGATATCTGTCCATATCTGGTGGAGTATGTTTAGAAGTTCCTGGAGTGTCTGTGGAACACGTGGTTGATGTTGTTGACGTCCAACATGTGCTCGATTGGTGAGAGATCAGGGGAGCAAGCCGGCCAGGGGATGACATTCACGTTGTTTTGTTGAAGAGAATCCTGAACAAGTCGAGCAATATGAGGCCGGGCGTTGTCATATTGAAAGGTAATGCCTGGGCCATGACGACGCAAAAACGGTAGAACAACAGGGCCGATGATCTCGTCGTGGTAGCGCTGTCCATTGAGATTTCCCTCTCCCACTATCAAACGGGTCCTCTGTCTTGCTGTAATCCCACCCCATACTATAACGCTGCCGCCCCTGAACCGATCTTCTTCCATGACACAAGGATTGACATAACATTCACCTCGACGTCAGTACACTTGAATCCGTCCATGGCTGTGGCTGGGGTGAAAAAGAGACTCATCAGTGAATAGAACTTGTCCCCACTGCATTGCCGTCCAGCGTAGATGCTGTCTGCACCACTGTAAACGTTCTGGATAGTGGTTTCCTGTCAAAATGGGACGTCTGGCAGGTCTTCTGGCGACAATCCCTGCACATCTGAGGCGACGACGTACGGTTTGTGAAGATATTTGTCGAAGGCCAGGGATGCTTCTTGCAGTCACTGTTGCTGGCTGGAATCGATTTCGTAGGTGTGTTGGTTACGCGTAGCCTGCCACTCCGAGGATGGTCTCTGACTGCATTTGTCTGTTGCCAACGTTGCCATAAACACCAAATGGTGTTTCTGTGGACGTTAAATTGACTTGCAACATCACATCTTGCTACAAGCATACCAATGGCTCGCAGACGCTCATTTTCGGACAGGCGTGGCAGTCGTAATGTTGATCAATTTCTTAATTTTGTTGTTTTTCTGAGTGGTTGTTGTTAGCACGATGCTAAACAATGCATATGGAATCCTGTTAACGCACATGTTTTTATACCCATTCTTGGGTAATGAAATGCATGGGGCTTGCATAAAAGTCAACTTTTGCATGGAATGCATGCTTTTCTGTAGATTTTCTGTAGACTTGATTCCATACATCTACTACAATATTGAAAACCAAACTTTACCTGTTTGAAAAATACACTTAAATATTGGTGTCACAGGAACTTTTGTTGTTGAGTATATAAAGACTTACTCATATTTACATTTAGTACAAGCGACTAAATGTTTTTATTGCAGGTACATCATCTTATGTTTACAATTTTACCTACTTCCGTTGCATCATTGCATGCGAGTTTCCTCGCAAGTTAAGTAATCATCTCATGGTGACGTCATCACTGCTTCTTCAATTACGTAACTGTCTCTACTTATCATGTTCGCACCAGCTGGAACCCAGTTTTTCCCGGGTTTTCACTCGGGAATCTAGTAACAATAATATTTGGCAACGCAATTTGCCACATAGCTGGGCCTGGCGGCGTTCGCTCCCATTTAGACCAGCAGCATTGGTCAGGTTGCTTCGTTTCCGCCATCTGGGCCTTAGCATTAAGTATATATGAGCAATTAAATTTGGCAACGCAAGTTGCCACATAGCTGGGCCTGGCAGCGTTCACTCCCAATTAGACCTGCAGCTGTGGTCGGGTAGCAACTATTCCGCCATTAAGCATTAATTTTCTATTAACAAATATGTTTGGCGAGGCAAGTCGCCATATAGCTAAATTTGGCCTGGCATGGTTATGCCATTTAGGCCTGTAATAGTATTTATTCCATTTCTAAATTGGGGTAGCCGTTTAGAACCTCCACACCCTCGGCCATTTAATCCACTGTTGTGTCTTTGACATTCTTTCAACATAGCATATTAGATTTGTTCAATGCACAAACGGACATACTGGTATGTTGTGTGAACCGATGCTCATGAACCCATCACATGTAATCCATGACTCGAGATGCACCATTTATCTCGTTCAGGATTAGCGTATAAAGTTTGAAAATCATATGCAGCATATCGTGATAAGAGTAAAGACACTCTGTGGTTACACTTGACTGATTGTTAGTTTTGTCATCAAGTGGTTCACATTGGAAACATCTCTTCTTGATGTACATACTTCTCTATATGTTCACGTTTCTTTCAGCAGTGGGTACATTACAAACAGCAATCAGGATTCAATTCACATAAAACCAAGTTCAAAGTAAACCCTATAAGAGTTGCATTGATACAACTCAAGGTCATGTGACTGGCATCTTATCCAATGAGAATACTGACCCAGTGCTCACTGCGGTTCTTGTAGTCGGCGTAGGTGGCCTTGAATGCCTGGCGGTACTCATCCACACCCTGTGGTGCAAATAGAATGTTACATATTGGTGAAAACAACAGGTTGTTACTTAATGGTGAAAGCAACATGTTGTTACTTCATGGTGAAAACAACATGTTGTTTCCTAACAGTGTTGGTTGGTTAGTTGGTTTGTTGTTTAACGCTGCACTCAGCAATATTACAGCTATATGACGGTAGTCTGTAAATAATCGAGTCTGGACCAGACAATCCAGTGATTGATGTCAGGAGCATCGACCCTCACAATGTGGGATCGATGACAAGCATCAACCAAGTCAGCGAGCCTGACCACCCGATCCTGCTAGTCGCCTTTTACGACAAGCATTGGTTGCTGAAGATCTATTCTACCGTGGATCTTAACGGGTCTGAAAACAACATGTTTCTTAATGGTGAAAAAACCATGTTGTTTCTTAATGGTGAAAAAAACATGTTGTTACTTAAGTCATGAGCTTCAACTAGAGGTGTATGTTATTTCGGGGAACAGCCAGCAATCTTCAAGCAGCATCACAGTGACTTATATAAACCAAAGAACTCACAGAGCAAAAATCCACTGTTTGGACATGTGGCCAGAAAAACTAGATAAACATTACTTCACTGGTTTCGTTCTTAGGTATTGTTACGAAATATTCAGAAGCTTTCCCCATTGCTAGGACCAAGTGGAAAATGTATCCCCCCCCCCCGATATATTTTTACTACGTTAAATACGGAACGTAAACTAATTCCCTTGATACACAAAGCACCCACCTTTCTGACCAGCACTGAAGATCTAGTTTGTAGACTCGGGTCGAGGCTTCTAAGCTTCTTCACAGCTGACTCTGTGACATTCTGTAAACAAATACTTCTTCTTACAAAAACTTGAAATTAACAAACCAAAACTATGGTCACATATTATGAAAGTTATCATTTTTAATATAGGATGAGGTATGATAAGGGTTCAAACAAATTTGACAAGTTCTAAATGGTCGGAAAATGTTATCAATTTTGTGCTTAGACTGACAACTCACATATTTTCTTTAATAAACAGATTTCTTTCTGTAATTAATTAAATGGCAGTCCAAACTTTGAACATGTAAAAAAGATAAAGGTCATATGAACTCATTCAAAGAATTTCAGGACTTATTTTTCAGCTTTCTCCAAATTAGAAACTTCTAGTTGCACATAATTTAGGATCCTTATCATATCTTGCTATTTGTATTTTTCACATTTGAATCACTGTTTTCTTGTTAATTATCTCAACCATTGAAATAATACAATAGTAGTATAATATCCTCTGTGTCGGTAAGCTACAAGAGGTAAGTGCCGATGGCATGTCACCACTGTGTTCTGACATCAGTAGCTGTGCTGCTATAACAGTAGACTACAAGAGGTAAGTGCCAATGGCATGTCACCACTGTGTTCTCACATCAGTAGCTGTGCTGCTATAACAGTAGACTACAAGAGGTAAGTGCCAATGGCATGTCACCACTGTTTCTCACATCAGTAGCTGTGCTGCTATAACAGTAGACTACAAGAGGTAAGTGCCAATGGCATGTCACCACGGTGTTCTCACATCAGTAGCTGTGCTGCTATAACAGTAGACTACAAGAGGTAAGTGCAAATGGCATGTCACCACTGTGTTCTGACATCAGTTGCTGTGCTGCTATAACAGTAGACTACAAGAGGTAAGCGCCAATGGCATCTCACCACGGTGTTCTCACATCAGTAGCTGTGCTGCTATAACAGTTGACTACAAGAGGGAAGTGCCAATGGCATGTCACCACTGTGTTCTGGCATCAGTAGCTGTGCTGCTATAACAGTAGACTACAAGAGGTAAGTGCCAATGGCATGTCACCACTGTGTTCTCACATCAGTAGCTGTGCTGCTATAACAGTAGACTACAAGAGGTAAGTGCCAATGGCATGTCACCACTGTGTTCTCACATCAGTAGCTGTGCTGCTATAACAGTAGACTACAAGAGGGAAGTGCCAATGGCATGTCACCACTGTGTTCTCACATCAGTAGCTGTGCTGCTATAACAGTAGACTACAAGAGGTAAGTGCCGATGGCATGTCACCACTGTTTCTCACATCAGTAGCTGTGCTGCTATAACAGTAGACTACAAGAGGTAAGTGCCGATGGCATGTCACCACTGTGTTCTGACATCAGTAGCTGTGCTGCTATAACAGTAGACTACAAGAGGTAAGTGCCGATGGCATGTCACCACTGTTTCTCACATCAGTAGCTGTGCTGCTATAACAGTAGACTACAAGAGGTAAGTGCCAATGGCATGTCACCACTGTGTTCTGGCATCAGTAGCTGTGCTGCTATAACAGTAGACTACAAGAGGTAAGCGCCAATGGCATGTCACCACTGTGTTCTGGCATCAGTAGCTGTGCTGCTATAACAGTTGACTACAAGAGGTAAGCGCCAATGGCATCTCACCACGGTGTTCTGACATCAGTAGCTGTGCTGCTATAACAGTAGACTACAAGAGGTAAGCGCCAATGGCATGTCACCACTGTGTTCTGGCATCAGTAGCTGTGCTGCTATAACAGTAGACTACAAGAGGTAAGCGCCAATGGCATCTCACCACTGTGTTCTGGCATCAGTAGCTGTGCTGCTATAACAGTAGACTACAAGAGGTAAGTGCCAATGGCATGTCACCACTGTGTTTTCACATCAGTAGCTGTGCTGCTATAACAGTAGACCACAAGAGGTAAGTGCCAATGGCATGTCACCACTGTGTTCTGACATCAGTTGCTGTGCTGCTATAACAGTAGACTACAAGAGGTAAGTGCCAATGGCATGTCACCACTGTGTTCTGACATCAGTTGCTGTTCTATTATTTGCATCCAACATGTATTTGATGTTTAACCTACTACAGTAAATCGGGGGCACAGGTGGCCCTGTTGTCTGAGGCGCTGCTATTCGCTGTGCAGAGTTGCGTCCCTTGGGCACGCCAGAAACCTATTATTGTGGGTTCTAATCCCGGTTCACCCCGATTATGTTTCTAGGTTTGTCAGCACCATACCCGTGCTCATGGGTTTCACCGAAGTGGTAAACGTCTGAGACCTGCATCACTTCAGGCTTTCCTCCCACATTAAGCTGACACGCCGTGATATAACTGGAATACTGTTAAAAGTGGAGTTAAACCCAACTCACTCACTACTACAGTAAATCCAATCAACTACATTTGATTGAACATGATGTGTGTGTCTGTGAGTGTGTTATGCCATGCCACAGTTTAACATGGATACCCCACTCAAAAACAGCATATTACTTCCGACGGACAAGGCCTTGTTTTATCCCTTTAAAGCAAAGTGTCAGGCAGGGTAACAACAAGTACCATTTTTAACATCTTTTGATATGGTGCATCCGGGGATCGAATTGCCAACCTACCACTCTCCAGGCAGATAACTACGGAGAAAATGGCATTGCATCCAATGGACACAAACACTGCAGTAACCTTGCCTTCAGAACTCAAGTGTAGTTTTCGATAATTTCTTCCCTCACCTTGATATGCTTGACTTCTGATTGGTAGAGTTCGAATTCAGCCAAGACATTATTCTGTAAAATATACATGTACAAAGCATATTATTAAGACCTTTTTTATGACTACTGAATCACCACATCAAGGTTCCATAGATACTGCTGAATCCTTTTATCTAACTTATCCAAAATAAATCAGAAAGGCAAATCTATAAAAATGATATATAATTTGTTCGTTTGTTTGTTCTTTAACGCCGCACTCAGCAATATTCCAGCTATATGACGGCAGTCTGTAAATAATCGAGTCTGGACCAGACAATCCAGTGATTGATATCATCAGCATCAATCCACGCAATTGGGATCGATGACATGCATCAACCATGTCAGCAAGCCTGACCACCCGATCCCATTAGTCGCCTTTTACGACAAGCATAGTCACCTTCTACGGCAAGCATGGGTTGCTGAAGACCTATTCTACCCCGGATCTTCACGGGTCGATATATAATTTAGTTTACGAGCTGTCATTTAGTTGTTTGGTATCCTTACTTTGAGAACAGTGACAGTCTGGATACTGCCTGCCAGATCCTGCAGGCTGTCTGCCACTTCCTGCAAATAACCCTGAAACATACAGTCACACATTGATATATACAATAGTGAGTGAGTGAGTGAGTTTGGTTTTACGCCGCTTTTAGCAATATTCCAGCAATATCACGGCGGGGGACACCAGAAATGGGCTTCACACATTGTACCCATGTCGGGAATCGAACCCGGGTCTTCGGCGTGACGAGCGAACGCCTTAACCACCAGGCTACCCGACCGCCCCTATATACAATAGAATAACAGTAGTAACAGTATAGGACCAAGGAAATCTGTCATGATTCACAAAGAAGGACTAATGCCACACCGATTCATGACTTTGTTCGAAATGTGCCTCTGTTCACCCAGCAGTGAATGGGTACCCGGTAGGATGAGATGACAATGTGGTTGTTAACCTTCAAGCGCCTAACAGGCAGCTTGTGTTGTATACATCCCAGGGAGCAGAGAATGATTCTTAAGTGCACACTGATCCAGTGACCGGGGTGCTAACCGCGCTTTGAGCATGCCCCTGAGAGGTGTGGAAATATGTACAATATAAATGGTTATTATCATAAATATGTGAAAGAAATAGAAAGTTAAAAACCGTTTTCACTGAAAATATGCTATTGTCTTACTTCTTTTTGTCAAGATATATTGTTTTTAATTTGGATTAACCAATAAATATGAAAACAACATAAAAAAGTGTTTATTCTGTACCTTGATTACATACAGGTATTGTTGGGAGGAGAAAAAGAACGTGAATACACAGATAGCAGTCGACCTGTAGTCTGCCTTACTGCCAAACAAACTTAAGAAAAATCAGGATAAATAGGAGTGAGTGAGTGAGTATGGTTTTACGCCGCTTTTAGCAATATTCCAGCAATATCACGGCGGGGGACACCAGAAATGGGCTTCACACATTGTACCCATGTCGGGAATCGAACCCGGGTCTTCGGCGTGACGAGCGAACGCCTTAACCACCAGCCTACCCGACCGCCCCTATATACAATAGAATAACAGTAGTAACAGTATAGGACCAAGGAAATCTGTCATGATTCACAAAGAAGGACTAATGCCACACCGATTCATGACTTTGTTCGAAATGTGCCTCTGTTCACCCAGCAGTGAATGGGTACCCGGTAGGATGAGATGACAATGTGGTTGTTAACCTTCAAGCGCCTAACAGGCAGCTTGTGTTGTATACATCCCAGGGAGCAGAGAATGATTCTTAAGTGCACACTGATCCAGTGACCGGGGTGCTAACCGCGCTTTGAGCATGCCCCTGAGAGGTGTGGAAATATGTACAATATAAATGGTTATTATCATAAATATGTGAAAGAAATAGAAAGTTAAAAACCGTTTTCACTGAAAATATGCTATTGTCTTACTTCTTTTTGTCAAGATATATTGTTTTTAATTTGGATTAACCAATAAATATGAAAACAACATAAAAAAGTGTTTATTCTGTACCTTGATTACATACAGGTATTGTTGGGAGGAGAAAAAGAACGTGAATACACAGATAGCAGTCGACCTGTAGTCTGCCTTACTGCCAAACAAACTTAAGAAAAATCAGGATAAATAGGAGTGAGTGAGTGAGTATGGTTTTACGCCGCTTTTAGCAATATTCCAGCAATATCACGGCTGGGGACACCAGAAAATGCACTTCACACATTGTACCTTTGTCGGGAATCGAACCTGGGTCGTCGGCGTGATGAGCAAACACTTTAACCACTAGGCTACCCCATACCAGTGTCAACTCTCACGCATTTATCACCTATGTCACGCTCACACACATGGTTGAGAAATTCTCACGTATTCATATAAAATGTAGATAAAAATATTTTGAAACGTTTTCTTTTTCTTTTTGATTTATTACGACCAACACAGCGAGAAAAATCATTCAAAACCAGTTTTCGCTGGGGGGGGGGGGGGGGGGGGGGCTTCGCCACCTTGCGCCCCCCCCACCAGGGCTTAGCCCTGGACCCAGCGGGGCTTGCACCACATGCACCCTGGCTTCTCACTTAGACATCCAGGAGTTGACAGAGCTATGCTACCCGACCGCCCCAGATAAATAGGAACAATTGAGTATTTCAATTGAACTGGGGATTATGGTGGAGTGTGACGTGCTGCATGTAGAGTTTGACTTGACATATGCGCTGTAACCATGAGCAACCATTTCACCCCTGCAGGGAATACGCATGTCAACAGATCAAGGTCATGACGTTTCTTATGTTTGTTTAGCAGTTGCTAGGAGAACAGTACAATACAACATGGACGTCTGGGACAACACAAACTAAGATAACCTGTGCAGGTGCAGGGAATGTAGGTCCTCCCGAGTTCAGTATCGTCCGGATGTTGTTGATGTAGTCATTCACGTCGGCTTTGATCACACCTGACTTGAGCTGGAAAGTGTAAAATATTACACAATTGTCAGTTCTACATACTCGATTGTCCAGTGTCTTATCTCCATCATGTCATGATGAGCATCAGAGTATACTTGCACAAAGTGATCTTATTGTAACTCTTATACTTGAACATACACTTACGGTTGTCGTAGCAATTGCACAAAGCGATCTTATCGTAACTCTTATACTTGAACATACACTTACGGTTGTCGTAGCACTGGCACAAAGCGATTTTATCGTAAGTCTTATACTTGAACATAGACTTACAGTTGTCGTAGCCCTGTCACAAAGCGATCTTATTGTAACTCCTATACTTTAACATAGACTTACGGTTGTCGTAGCACTGGCACAAAGCGATCTTATCGTAACTCCTATACTTTAACGTAGATTACGGTTGTCATGGCACTGGCACAAAGCGATCTTATCGTAACTCCTATACTTTAACGTAGATTACGGTTGTTGTAGCACTTAGGTTGCTTTGAGAAAGCGGACCCTGGACCCTTGCACTGTAATAGCTTTATAAGGGAAGCGATGTCACCGTCCCCTTATCAGTAATTTGCCGCTGAATTTCTCTCCTGCGTGAGTGTAATGTGATTGCATTGGTTGGCTGTTTTAAGAGCCATTCCATTCAAACAGGACTTAAAACAAAGCTATGGTTGCAAATGAATCCAATGCATATATCACGATAGAATGATGATATTATGCACTGGATCTTGTACAACTGATGCTCGTTGAATACACAAAGTGAAACCCAAGTGTAACTATAGACAGTAATGACGTGTAATAATTGTCATAAAATATTTACTTTGCCCGTTAATAACAGACAAATTTCACTGCAAAACTTTCATGCACAAAACATGTCTGTAACATCCACGTTTAGCACAAATAAGATTTCTGCACTGGAATTCAAACCAAGACCCTCTGATCATGAGGTGAACACCTTGTCTACTTGCCCAAATAGACCATCCTATGGTGAGGGGTGGTCTCACCACATTAATTAACAATAATGTGTTGTGTGAGGTTTCTTACAACCTAAAATGAAATAGATCAAGTTTATCAACAAATCCAATATATGTTGTGACCAGGTCCTGACCAGGTCCTGACCAGGTCCTGACCAATCCCTTGATGCTGTGTCACATGCCATGGTTCTTATTAAAACTGATTAATGATCTTTGAATTTTATAAACATTGTCAATTATGAAATATTGCAAAATAAGTTGAAATTATATTACAAGAAATATTATATGTCTTCTAAAAATATTACTGGTCAATTTCAGGCAAAATTTTATCAAAGTTTACTCTTGCTGTCATATAAACACATATACCATACTTTAAAATACAATTCCTTGTTGTCACTGTGATATGTTTTTACTGGTGGTAATATTAGTAAGTGTCTTATTTTCTTATGTACATATCTTAAAATCTTATCTTATCTTATCTTATCTTATCTTATCTTATCATATATCATGCTTTTAAACAAAGAAAATCAAGTTTGGAAATTATATGATTGTACCAATTGCTCCTGTAAACAGGATTGTACTATAGGCCTGGGCCTCCTCAGTACGTTGAATAAAGAAATCTTACCTTACCTTACCTTACCTTACCTTACCTTACCTTACCTTACCTTACCTTACCTTACCTTACCTTACCTTACCTTACCTTACCTTACCTTACCTTACCTTACCTTACCTTACCTTACCTTACCTTACCTTACCTTACCATCATAAATCAACATATCAACATAAATATATTTCCCACACTGCTTAGATGTCCATGAGTTGTACCTCACTGTCAAGTTTTATGTCACTGAATCATATATGTGTTCAATAATAGCCATACTTACCATATCATAGTAGGTGACGAGGTCGAACATAGCTGCTGTGTTGAAGTTTGAAATCCAGGCCTCAAACTCTGAGGTGACCATGGAAACACCACTAAGATCTACATACATCTTGTCGAAACTACTGTCCACGGTCTGGAAGGCCTGAAGAAGACAAAGACACTAAATTTACTTTGACTTCAATGGTTTAAACACAAATAAATCTACGGTAAAGTTGCATCTATCACCATTCAATATTAAACATTTCTCGCATTTTCTGTGATATGTATATTGCTCAAAACGTTTGACAGATTAACTATTTTCATATGAAAAGGTGTTCTCTAGGGATGGTCATTTATTGCAGGGTGTTGTAGGTCAGAGGTGTTCTCTAGGGATGGTCATTTATTGCAGGGTGTTGTGGGTCAGAGGTGTTCTCTAGGGATGGTCATTTATTGCAGGGTGTTGTAGGTCAGAGGTGTTCTCTAGGGATGGTCATTTATTGCAGGGTGTTGTAGGTCAGAGGTGTTCTCTAGGGATGGTCATTTATTGCAGGGTGTTGTAGGTCAGAGGTGTTCTCTAGGGATGGTCATTTATTGGAGGGTGTTGTAGGTCAGAGGTGTTCTCTAGGGATGGTCATTTATCGCAGGGTGTTGTGGGTCAGAGATGTTTGAATCACTTATGTACAGAAAATAATGACCCTCCTCTAATTCCTGTCATATTTGTGGATGACCCTTCCCATATCTGCATATATATTTTCATGACCCTCCCTGAAAAAGGTAAAATCTTTATATTTTATTATAAAAAGTCCATTTTGCCCTGACCCTCGTCAAATAACTGTAATATGTTTTATGACCCTCCCCTAGAGGCTGTCATATGTTTTATGACCCTCCCCAAATATCTGTAATATGTTTTATGACCCTCCCCTAGAGACTGTCATATGTTTTATGACCCTCCCCAAATATCTGTAATATGTAATATATTTTATGACCCTCCCCTAGAGACTGTCATATGTTTTATGACCCTCCCCTAGAGGCTGTCATATGTTTTATGACCCTCCCCTAGAGGCTGTCATATGTTTTATGACCCTCCCCTAGAGGCTGTCATATTTATGCCCCTCCCCAAGAGGCTGGCATATTTTTTATGACCCTCCCCTAGAGACTGTCATATGTTTTATGAGCCTCCCCAAGAGGCTGTCGTATTTTTTATGACCCTCCCCTAGAGACTGTCATATGTTTTTTTACCCTCCCCTAGAGGCTGTCATATTTTTTATGACCCTCCCTTAGAGGCTGTCATATGTTTTATGACCCTCCCTTAGAGGCTGTCATATGTTTTATGACCCTCCCTTAGAGGCTGTCATATGTTTTATGACCCTCCCCTAGAGGCTGTCATATGTTTTATGACCCTCCCTTAGAGGCTGTCATATGTTTTATGACCCTCCCTTAGAGGCTGTCATATGTTTTATGACCCTCCCCTAGAGGCTGTCATATATTTTATGACCCTCCCCTAGAGGCTGTCATATGTTTTATGACCCTCCCTTAGAGGCTGTCATATGTTTTATGACCCTCCCCTAGAGGCTGTCATATGTTTTATTACCCTCCCCTAGAGGCTGTCATATGTTTTATGACCCTCCCCTAGAGACTGTCATGAATATGTTTTATGACCCTCACCTAGAGGCTGTCATATGTTTTATGGCCCTCCTCAAATATCTGTAATATGTTTCATGCCCCTCCCCTAGAGGCTGTCATATGTCTTATGACCCTCCCCTAGAGACTGTCATTTGTTTTATGACCCTCCCCTAGAGACTGTCAGGTTTTATTACCCTCCCCTAGAGGCTGTCATATGTTTTATGACCCTCCCCTAGAGACTGTCATATGTCTTATGACCCTCCCCTAGAGGCTGTCATATGTTTTATGACCCTCCCCAAGAAGCTGTTATATGTTTTATGACCCTCCCCTAGAGGCTGTCATATGTTTTATGACCCTCCTCTGGTTCACTCTGAAACAAATTTCCATGTGTTGGTAATTATTTCAGTGTTCTGGAATTCCTTCGTACAGCTGGTACTTAATACCCACTGCTGGGCATACAACTTTGATAATGTGTCATTATGCCCTGATGGTGGTGATTGTTGCTCATGCTATCAACCACTGGTTTGCCTGGCACAGTTTTGATGAGTTACAGGTTGTCATGGTATGGCTGGAATTTTGTTGTGCAAAACGACATCCACACCCACAATCAATGCTCTGACTACATTAGCTTGTTCTCACAGAATGACAAATCTACTATCGGTATAGCATGTACTTCATTTCTTCTCTAAGCAAAACATCACCTGTGTATAGTCCAGGTCCTGGAAGATTGTTGGCACAAGGTGATGTGAATAAAGCTGGTGCGATCCTTCGTTCTTCAGGCAAGATCTGAAACAAGGAACACAGACATTGGCAAGATGGACAAGGCAGGGGCTGCAATGATTAGTCTATTTCTGTCTCAGTCAAGCTTTCATGATGTTAATCCATTCATAATGGATCTTCTCTTTAGTTACCTGCATGTGGTACCTTCACAAATAGAACCACAATATTCTGTAGCTCACCTGCACCTCACACTTTCAGAAAAAGTAGTCTTTGTCACTGTCTGTATGGGTGGCAGATTTTCAAGGTGCAATCAGTGGCAGTTGAGAGACTCGGGCAAAAGTGTCTACACTTACCAGGAATTCTACATAACATATCCAAATCAGGTGATTCCAACCCCTTCACCAGGTCACTGAGCATGTAAACAATGGCATGTACTGCATTTGAAGCGTACTGTATTGAAGTGTTGACAGTGTATGTAGCATTTTACCTCATAAATGAGATACTGACAGTGTATGTAGTATATTACCTCATAAATGAGGTGTTGACAGTGTTTGTAGCATTTTACCTCATAAATGAGATACTGACAGTGTATGTAGTATATTACCTCATAAATGAGGTGTTGACAGTGTTTGTAGCATTTTACCTCATAAATGAGATATTGACTGTGCATGTAGTATATGACCTCATAAATGAGGTGTTGACAGTGTATGTAGCATTATACCTCATAAATGAGATATTGACTGTGCATGTAGTATATGACCTCATAAATGAGGTGTTGACAGTGTATGTAGCATTATACCTCATAAATGAGATATTGACAGTGCATGTAGTATATTACCTCATAAATGAGGTGTTGACAGTGTTTGTAGCATTATACCTCATTAATGGGTATTGATATTGTATGTAGCGTATTACCTCGTAAATGAGGTACAGACAGTGTAAGAAGCATACTACCTCATAAATGAGGTACTGACAGTGTCTGAAGCATATTACTTCATATATGAAGTACAGAGAGTGTAGGCAGTATATTACCTCATATATGAAGTACTGACAGTGCATGTAGCCTATTTCACAATTGAGGTACTGACAGTGTCTATAGCATATTACCTCATAAATGAGGTACTGACAGTGTATGTAGCATATTACCTTATAAATGAGGTATTGACAGTGTCTGAAGCATATTACCTCATATGTGAGGTACAGAGAGTGTAGGCAGCATATTAACTCACAATTGAGGTGTTGACAGTGTTTGTAGCATATTACCTCATATGTGAGGTACAGAGAGTGTAGGCAGCATATTAACTCACAATTGAGGTGTTGACAGTGTCTGAAGCATATTACCTCATATGTGAGGTACAGAGAGTGTAGGCAGCATATTAACTCACAATTGAGGTGTTGACAGTGTTTGTAGCATATTACCTCATATGTGAGGTACAGAGAGTGTAGGCAGCATATTAACTCACAATTGAGGTGTTGACAGTGTTTGTAGCATATTACCTCATATGTGAGGTACAGAGAGTGTAGGCAGCATATTAACTCACAATTGAGGTGTTGACAGTGTTTGTAGCATATTACCTCATATGTGAGGTACAGAGAGTGTAGGCAGCATATTAACTCACAATTGAGGTGTTGACAGTGTCTGAAGCATATTACCTCATATGTGAGGTACAGAGAGTGTAGGCAGCATATTAACTCACAATTGAGGTGTTGACAGTGTCTGAAGCATATTACCTCATATGTGAGGTACAGAGAGTGTAGGCAGCATATTAACTCACAATTGAGGTGTTGACAGTGTTTGTAGCATATTACCTCATATGTGAGGTACAGAGAGTGTAGGCAGCATATTAACTCACAATTGAGGTGTTGACAGTGTTTGTAGCATATTACCTCATATGTGAGGTACAGAGAGTGTAGGCAGCATATTAACTCACAATTGAGGTGTTGACAGTGTTTGTAGCATATTACCTCATATGACAGTGTATGTAGCACTATCGGTATATAACAATACTCAGACTTATTTGGTGATATGTTACTGAACATGAACCACAAAATAAAAAAAAAAACCTGCACTTGTATTACATACTGAGCCTACCTGTACATATCTGCAGACTTCATTGTGATACTCCCGTTGCCCAGGATGATAGATGACAGGTAATACCCAGGATGATTCTTCACCACGTCCGGGATGTCCAGCACCTGAGTGAGTGAGTGAGTGAGTGAGTGAGTGAGTGAGTGAGTGAGTGAGTGAGTGAGTGAATGAATGTTACCTCATATTATTTCCATACAGAAAACGTAATATTCCAGTTTTGTGACATAAGATAAAGCAAATTATTCTGAAGCACATAAGTACGCATTTTGTCACACCCAAGAACATTTGTTAAAAATAAAATCTGTAAATCACAAAATTAAATTGTCAGCTTCAGTCTCACCTCCGTCATGTATTGTAGTTTCTTTGCCGGCTCACACACGACCTTCTCCAGATTGACCCCTGCATAGAAGGTCATCATGCAGAGCGCCATGAAGATGAGTGACAGTCCAATACAGCCAAATGAAACCCTGAGAGAAAAGCAAATATCTCTTATCCCTGCCAAGGGCTGTAATATAATTATGAGTGAGTATGGTTTTACGCCGCTTTTAGCAATATTCCAGCAACATCACGGCGGGGGACACCAGAAATGGGCTTCACACATTGTACCCATGTCGGGAATTGAACCAGGGTCTTCGTGATATGTTTCCCCCCGAATACCACATGGTATCACGATACATCGGTCATGATATGATATGTAGCACAATACATATGTCATGATACGACATGTAATGCCATACGCATATTCACATCGCATGGAAACTTCTTGACTACATTTCAGAGCAGGTTCAAAAGAAAAGGCAAGCTGTAGACATATGTTCATTAGGGCTATTTTTAGTAGTGAACTTCAAATGCACATTTTGCTAATTCTGGCGGACAAAAATGCCAAGGGTCCTTAAACGAGTAGAAAGTAAATTACTTCAGCAAGTGTATCGTCAGAGAAAAACATTTTGTGTATCGTATCATCACATGAAAACTCAAGATGCACCGATATATCGCTTAAACCCCTAGTCTTCTCCCATGGTATTTGAATCTAGGGTCACCCTCAATCAGTAACTTCTCACAACAGAGTCAACATAGGACGAGGACCCCTTGACTATCAGCGTCATTTGGAAAACTGATTTACACATATATTTTCTCGAGACATATATAGTCTCGTGTGACTGAATGGCTCATGGTTGACTTACGCGACGTAGAGGATGTAGGCGGGGTAGTAGTTGGGCTGTCCCCCTCGTCGCGCCTCCCTCTTCCCCTTGACCGTGATGGTCAGTGCCAGGTACAGAATAAAACACCCGACAAAGTTGACGAACACGAACACCCAGGTAAACCCATACCTGGAAATACAAAGGAAACATTATTGGAGGACATTCACTTCCTGTTTTCATCCTGCTGTATTCAAGACAGTACAGTAAACTACGGTCATTATGAACTCGAAAGGGCCACAAATTTTAGTTCGTTATAACCATAGTTCGTCAAAAGCATATTAACAGCTTATTTACAGCAAATGGCCTGGCCCACAAATAAGTTTGTTATATCCATCAGTTTGTTATAAACGTTTACTGTATTTGTTTTGGAGTCCTTACTCAGAGTCTTGTTTGAAGCATACATAAATGTGCTAAATAATGGATTTGTTTGAACGTAGAGTTCTCTCCCTTTGTACATACCTGACTGTGTCACTGACAACCAACCGCTTGTCAAAACTTTGGAAGGATTCTCGAAATTTTGGGAAGTAAAAGTCCTGAAATATGAAGAGATCTTGATAAATGAATCATTAACTATGGTGTTGTATTGAAATCAGTCTTTCATATCCACAAGGAGCAGTCACATCATAACATACATAGTGATGTAGCTGTTACACACATCATCATTTCCATCATCATTTTACAGCTGCTGCTTGCTGACTGAAGCTACAAGAGTGAGTGAGTGAGTTGGGTTTAATGCCGCTTTTAACAGTATTCCAGTTTTATCACAGCGTGTCAGCTTAATGTGGGAGGAAAAGCCCGAAGTGATGCAGGTCTCAGACGTTTACCACTTCGGTGAACCCACAAGCACGGGTATGGTGCTGACAAACCTAGAAACATAGTTGGGGCGAACTGGGATTCGAACCCACAATCATAGGTTTCTGTTCGCCCTAGGGACCTAACTCTCCACAGCGAATCGTGGTGCCTTAGACGACTGGGCCACCCGTGCCCCTGAAGCTACAGGGACATCATGACCGTGCACCATTTTTGTTGTGTTAGTGTTTAGATCAGACCATATAGTGCTTGTTGTAAAAAATCCTTCTTTAGGGACTGACCATTTGATATTCTGGGGGGCAGGCCTGCGATTTGAAAAAAATAATTATGCTGTTGAAAAAAAAGAAATTAGCTTTTACAAAAATTACATTGTTGAAAGGTGTTTTTTTAAAAACAATTCAGAATTATAGTCTTACATGAAAAAATATCTGGTTTTGAAGCAGAAGCTAAAAATCTATCTACCGGTAATCTCAATACCCAGGCCCACCCCCAGAATATCAAATGGTCAGTCCCTTGGATAGAGGTTATGAGGCCCCGGGGCTCAGGGGCTTATTATTAAATGACTTAATTTTGACTTAAAAAAATAAAGTTTCTGAAAATTGACTTAGCCGAATATAAAAACATTGGTCTAAATCTAAAACTGTCTGCTGCGAGAAACTAAGTCGAAGTCACTGAATGCAATGACGTGATCACTTAGGGACTTGGATCAGGCGTCTATGTATGCATGTCGTATTACCTATCATAAACACAGTTATCATTGAGTATCAGACCCGTGAATATCCGGGGTAGAATAGGTCTTCAGCAACCGATACCTGCTGTAAAAAGTGACTATGCTAGTCGTAAGAGGCGACTAATCGGGTCAAATCGGGTGGTCAGGCTGGCTGACTTGGTTGATGCATGTCATCGTATCCCAATTGTGTGGATCGATGCTCATGATGTCAATCACTGGATTGTCTGGTCCAGACCAGTTTATTTACAGACCGCCGTCATATAGTTGGAATATTGTTGAGTGCAGCGTTAAACAACAAACCAAACCAAAATATGAGTATCAGGCGTATGTGTTATTACCTAATCGAATAGAGAGTTATCACTGAGCATTAAGCTATAAGACAATACTAGGGGACCTGTCATTTATTAGAGTGGGTCAGAGTTTTTTGATTCACAAATGTACCAAAACTAATGACCCTCCCCTAATTGCCCTTATTTTTGGATGACCCTCCACATGTCCTTGTACATTATTTCATGACCCTCCCCAAATAAGTGTAATATTTTGTATGACCCTCCCCTAGACACCCCCACCCCAAATAAAATAATCAATGGCCAGTCCCTAAGTGTTGATTAAGCATCCATGTTAAAAATGTCCTACTTAACCTTTCCTGTGAGGAATAATTGATATTTTATGATGTCCCATAGTATTTTCAAAGCAATATCTTGTTTTACTAGATTCCACTAGACAGGCATACACACACTGTTGTTGAAATCACATACAGATACAAGAATGATTGGCTAAGTGATGACGAACATGGCACTTTTAAGATGGCTGCCATTTACGATTTCCAAGTAGGTGGAGTAGGTTGGTCTCACCTGCTGAGACGGGAACTTGAGTCCAGATATAGAATTGGCCACCGTTGCACTGTACCTTGTTATTGTGTCATTCAACTCTGCAAGATAGACAAGGGAGGATGTACTTACATATCTTCAGTGTATGCTTTCAAATAGTCCAGGCCAATGTCATAAAATCATTTTTACAGATTTTTTAGTTCAGTATGTCATGAGAAGGTAAACTAATAAATAGATCATGATGTCGGGGATGTGGGGTCGAATTTCTGAAAGAAATTGTAAAATATTATAGCAAAAAGATGTTAAATTGAACCATATTGTCAATTAAACACTAACTTAATATCATTTTTAACATTTGCCATATTCAGTGCTGGATTCTTTATAAAAAAAATACTAATTGATGTGGCTTTAGAAGTCTTCATCAACCCATCCTTGTCATAAGAGGCGACTAATGGGATCAGGTGGTCAGGCTCGCTGACTTGGTTTAAGCATGTCATCATATCCCAGTATAGATTGACATTCATGATACCGTCATAAAAGAAATTACTAATTGATGTGGCTTTAGACACTTATCAGTTTTCAAAAGATTCTATAGCTTTCGAGACGACTGGTGGACCCACCATATAATGTTAAGATAAATAATCTGTAAATAAATATAATAGTAATAGTAATTTATAAAACAGGAATCTTTATGCAACTAAAAAAAAGCTAAGGAACACCTGATTGCTATAGTTAATGTGCCATGAAAGAATCGGGTGTTCTTGTAATTTCTATTGATGCCATATCAACTATAGTCCTATGAGTGAGTGAGTGAGTATGGTTTTACGCTGCTTCTAGCAATATTCCAGCAATATCACGGCGGAGGACACCAGAAATGGGCTTCACACAATGTACCCATGTTGGGAATCAAACCCAGGTCTTGGGCGTGACGAGCGAACGCTTTAACCACTAGGCTACCCGACCGCCCCTATAGTCCTAAGAACATTGTCATGACAGGTTAACAATAGTTATATGAACAAATCAGGTGTTCTTTAACTTCTTTTGAGTAGTATATGTTCCATATTGATTTTCAGGAAGGATAGAATTTCAGAACAGGGTTAGTAATCTTAGACGCTTTACTTATATTAATAATTACAAATTACTTACAGCTCTTGACAATATCACAAATATTCAGTTAATCAAGATGTGCTGAATAGACACACAAAGCTGTGTAAATGAATTGATATTTTCTATAAAACTATACATCAATTCATTATAATTCAATTCTTGATTATTTGTTTTTATTTGTAATTGATGTCCCTTTTTTCAATTTCATCCTGATTCTAGAACATCCATACAAAAGGGAAAATTTTATCCTCAGCCTTGCAGTTAGCACGCATGAAGATCCGGGTTAGAATTGGTCTTCGTAAGAGGCGACTAACGGGATCGGGTGGTCAGGCTCGCTGACTTGGTTGATGTATGTCATTGTATCCCAATTGTGTAGATCAATGCTCATGGTGTCAATCACTGGATGATCTGGTCCAGATTTAATTATTTACAGACTGCCGTCATATGGCGGGAACATTGCTGAGTGCAGCTTTAAACAACAAACAAACAAGAAAAACATTGTTCAGAATGTAGGTCATGTAGACCTTGCGGAAAAGAAAGTATCTTACACAAAAACAAAAACAAGGAAAAAGACTTTATTAAATATTTAGACTAACAAACTTAAATTTAACTTCTGAACACAGCTTTGTCACCAGTCTGGAACAGACAATATTTCCTCTCAGAGTTTAAAAAATACAAAAAGAAATTGCAAACAGTTGCAAAAATTGTGTGACTCTAATAGAATCAGCCTGACCATTACCAGGATACTAGTCTGTCATCCACATAAGAAAAGATGACACAAGCCATCGTTCTAAGTGGCTGCTCAGAGTAACATTGTAACAAGTGGAATTAAATCTAAATGTCTTTTGATACTTAAATCAATCTCTCAATTATTGAATCTGCTAAAGGAAATTCTTCAATTAAAGAAATTATTTCCAGATAAACAGCATGTTTTTTTTATATCCTTGATGTAATTTCACCTTGTTCATAATCTGCTTCACTTCCGATGTGGCTACTGATTGGTTTGATCATTCAAATTGTGACACATTAATTTTGTTAACATGAAGAATTGACAAATAATTCTTTGTTCTCAACAGTTAAATTTTCAAAGGAAATTTGTCTCAAGACACAAAAGAAACATTTTCTCATTTTACACAAATTAGTTCAAATAATGTTTGTCACTGCTAAAAAACGTTTGAGTTGATTCACCTGAATTTGTCCATCAACATTTTGAATAGCTCATGTTGTTTACATATAGAAACTCATTCTTATGAACTTTATCACCATGTGTTAACATATTTGTTGTATAATGACACAAGAGTGAGATTCTATTTCTCAACCAACATCATTCTTCCAAGTTCTGAGCATGTACAGTGATAATAGTGAAATCTTTTCTTGTGGAAATGACATGATGTCAAAGAGGTATATCCACAGAAAACTTGAGTCAACTGACCTAATTGTTTCATAGTGAAAAGTCAGTAAAATAAGCAGTGGTCTCTTACCTTCGGAAAATAGACACACTTGAGGAATGTGCAGTGAACAAGTACTTGCAGAACAGGGGTTCATCACCAAGAGCAATCCATGAAGAGGTGAGGTGAGGTGAAATGGGGTTTAACGTCGCGTCCAAGATTATTGCACTTATATAGCGACGTGCATGCACGTGTGTGTGTTTGTGTGGCTGCTTGTACTAGTCCGGACTGATGCCGATTTATAGTGCTAGCCCACTGACGTACCATGCCGCAGTTTAACATGAATACCCCACTCAGACACAGTATACTGACTCCGAGCCGACCAGTCCTTGCGTTGACCCCTTAATGCCGAGCGCCAGACAGGGTAACAACAAGTACCATCTTTTAACGTCTTTTGGTATGACGCAGCTGGGTATCCGTGAAGATACAGTAAACTACGGTTATAACAAACTCAAAGGAACCCCTCATTTCAATTTGTTATATCCGTCGTTCATTTTACGTATTTTGACCGTCAGACATCTTTTATCAAGTCATGTGACATGTTACTCGATAAATAACAAAAGTGTGCACTGTACATGTACAGAATATATCCACTTCAATCACTGTGTTACTGTTGTTAACTGAGGGTGTAATTTGAGGACAAGGTGTCAGTACTTAAGAGTAAATCAATTGCCTTCAATTGTTTATTGACGCTTTGAACAGCAGCGCTTGCCCGCGGATGTTTTGATAGGCAGATTGGTGTCAGCTCAGGGATTAACTATTCGTCATACACTTGAACATTATCACTGACAGAATAAAACATGGGATCACAAGGTGAGTTTGCTATATCCGTTATTTCGTTATGAGTGTGTTTGTTATATCCATCAACTTTATAGGATAAAGTATATGGCAAATGGCCAGGACCAAAAGAACAGTTTGTTATATCCGTTAGTTCGCAACAATCGTGTTCGTTATAAACATAGTTTACTGTATGAGTATAACACTAGGTAAGGCTGTCGCTTCCTGTGCCACTGTAGGGAAGTAGGCAGTAGAGTGTAGGCATGGTTAGAAGAGCCTTGAAGATCACACCCATGCTGGAAGGCCTGTGATGTCAGCAACATCACAAATGATCCAGAATATGGTGGTGATCGAACAGTGGATGACTGCACGTCATATTGCCAGTTCAGTAGGTATTTACCAGGAGACAGTGCATTCCGTTATCACAGAAACTTTGGCAATGACAAAAGTATCAGTTTGTATGGTTCCCAAGGTTTTAACATTTGATCACAAACACACCAGGGACAGCATGTCTTGTGATATCTAGCTCTGTTTGAAGCTGATCCAGAAAGGTTCTTGCAACAAATTGTGACTGTGGATGAGACCTGGGTTCACCACTTTCAGCTTGAATCCAAAAAACAATCAAAGAGTGGAAGCATTTGACATCACCACCAAAGAAGACCTCCATGTTCCGGGATGCCGAGGGTGTCATCATGTCACTCTCTTCCACAACGCCTGACAATACACGTAGCATATCATGCTGGTCTTTTGTGGCAATTACATTATAGTAGCTGTGGAGAACATTTTGGAAAGCCAAGAGAAGCACTCATACGAAACTGGGATAAAATCCCTCCAACAGTGTTGGCAAAAGCGTACAAATGTGGAATGGGATTATCTTGAAAACGAAATCATTATATGGTCTTTAGGTCAAATCTTTCTATGTGCATCTTTCTGATTAATCAGAACCATATCACTTGCATTTGCTTCAATCAAAATGGCGGCATCAGTCAACACAATCTGATCAATAATCAAGATCTATATTGTAATAAAACAGATCTTACCCTGTAGAGTGCATCAAATCACTTGAGCACCTTGATCAAAAACATGAAAACATCTGCAAAATATCTAAATGCCCAGTGCAAATCCTGCAGTCGACCGAAATTTGCACGTTGAAATCCATCTTGCTATTTCGTTACGCGATTTTGATTGGACTATGCATAGTCTCATTAGTCAAGCCAACTCCGGAATTCCAGCCTAGTTCTGCAAGGGTGGAAACTGAACTTTTATAGTGAGTTAACTCCCTTGCCTCGGGAAGATGTTCTTTGTGAAGCTTAGAATTTATCAACCACCCCTCGTATATGGAAGAATGTGGTGTACATCTAGGAAAGTGGTCTAGTTAGGAGGCTGGTGTGTATATGGATCACCAGGCAGGATGAAGGACAGGTAAACATCCACTCACCTGACACAGCATCAGCAACTCTTGTCGTCAAGACAGCAGCAATGCCTTTGTCATAGTAATACTCCGGCTGAAACAAGAGAAAACACTCTATCAAACATCCATGCGGTGCCAGAATTGTTTACAAATCTTCCGTCATGATTTTTTAAATATTTTACTCCTTCCTTCAAACAAAATGATCAGAATATCTGAAATATAAATGAATTGGTCTGGCCTTAGGTCATAGTTCGGGTGTTTTTATTGTCTTTAAATCATATGTTTTCGGACATCAAATGTTTTCAGACGGCCATGTTTATAACTAGGGGTATGGCGTCACACAGGCATTGTAAATATTCAGGTGATGGTTTGATGTGAAGTTTTCTTTTATATGATTGCATGGGCGGATACAGCTTTTTTTAAAAGAGGGGGTGCACAATTAAGATCTATTTATTGTCTTTGGTGGTAATTTATACAGAAATAAAGATTTTTTTCGAAATAAAAAGGGGGGGTCCGCACCCCCGCATCCCCCCTTTGTATCCGCCCATGGATTGAGATGTTTTACTGTTGTTCTTGTGATTAGCGAGAAAACTACAAATGTTTCGTAAGCATCCAAAACCACATTAAACAGAGATATTTATTTTTATATTATTTTAGTAAATGTTGCAGGGTTTTTTTCAAACCCATAGTAAAGCTGCTACTGGTTGAACCCCACACACAGACACTGGATACTGTCTGAAGCTCTACAAGACAATCGTTATATCAATGCCTGATGCAAAATAATTCTTGCTTTCTTGCTTTCTTGCTTCCAGCAATAAATATAACTGCTACTGCAATTTCAGATATGATGATACACATAATGAAATTAATTGGTGGGAAAAATTAAGAAATAGAGTTTTCTAGGTACAGAAGGGTGCTTGAACATACAATGATTCTTTGACTAATTTCTATTGCTCATACAGCCATAGACTCCCGACATGGCTGCTGGTGCAGTAATTTCCACATGCCACCAGGAATCATCTTCCATTCCATGAATTATATATGTTCTCACTCCACCTTATGTCAAACATAACTCACATGCTAATACCGGAGAAGAAGCCATATATAATTCACAGTCAAGGTCTGATCAAGACTCCATACTTTCATGCAATACTGATGTCACCTTCTGAGTCTGTAACTCCTACTGATACGACTCTGTATCACCTACTGATACGACTGTATCACCTACTGATACGACTGTATCACCTACTGATACGACTCTGTATCACCTACTGATACGACTCTGTATCACCTACTGATACGACTGTATCACTTACTGATACGACTGTATCACCGACTGATACGACTGTATCACTTACTGATATGACTTTGTATCACCTACTGATACGACTCTGTATCACCTACTGATACAACTCTGTAACACCTACTGATACAACTCTGTAACACCTACTGATACAACTCTGTACCACCTACTGATACGACTGTATCACCTACTGATACGACTGTATCACTTACTGATATGACTGTATCACCTACTGATACGACTCTGTATCACCTACTGATACGACTCTGTATCACCTACTGATACGACTCTGTATCACCTACTGATACGACTCTGTATCCCCTACTGATACGACTGTATCACTTACTGATATGACTGTATCACCTACTGATACGACTCTGTATCACCTACTGATACAACTCTGTACCACCTACTGATTCAACTCTGTACCACCTACTGATACAACTCTGTACCACCTACTGATACAACTCTGTACCACCTACTGATACAACTCAGTATCATCTACATTTGTGCAGCAATTAAGCGAGTGTCGCCTGCCTTTTGACACTCAGCATATTATTGTCAGAGTGCAAATATATATACACATTCCCTGACCAGCGGATCCATATGCATTCCAGTTATTATTCTCAACTCCCTGGGGAGTATACAACAGAATGACATCAAAATGTTGCACAGGACGACTGCCAAGTAAGGGTAATGAGCTGACGGGCCAATCATATATCCAGACCTTACAATAATTAATGATGAAACTTCTAATGTCCTTTAAAAGAATCAAAAACAGTGTTAAATTCACGCCTTTAATCATCACAGCATGTATTGCCTGACAGATGAAAAATCTAATGTGAAATAGCTCGCTTACTTGATCAATTTTTTACCTCCTTTTCACACCTGCTTGAGGGACAAATCCCTCTGGGATTGATTTTCAGAAAGTGTTGTAATCAAGCATTCAACCAGCTGTCAAAAGGTGTGGGGGGGGCACTTCTACCTGTCAGACCTCGGGGAAACATCAAACAGGCCATTTTCAACAAAAAACAAAAACTCCACCACATCACCTATGATACAACTTCCTCTCACTATCCACACATGAAACCAGATAGGCGGCAAACACTGTAAGGAGCTTCATGGTTGGCTTCACTACAAGGAGCTGTGAAGAACTGAGGGGCGTCATCGTAGCCTATCGGTTAAAGCGTTTGCTCGTCCTGCTGGCATGGTTTCAATTTCCCCCCATGGGGGTCCCTGGCAAAGTAATATCAAGTAATACCCAATTACTGATGTCGATTAAGTAGTTTTATTAAGTCAGAATGTACTTTGTGAGTTCCAAGGTTACCTGGTAGTTTCTCAATTTAATTCCACAAATTTTTGCTTTAAATGCCAAAGGAAATCTTAGCAAACAAGGGTGAATCCAACATTTTTCAAAGGGATGGGTCCAAAATATAAAATCCTCTCTCAGTCAGGAGTCCCTGGTTCCCCTCTCATGAAGGATCCACTTATGGCAAAGTATTTACAGGATGTCATTTCTGAGACAAAAAATATGCACAGGTTCATTGTCCCATTAAAAAACAAAGATATAGCGAGATACATCAGTCACCAGATTATCGTGTCTGGTTACCATGACAACACGGGAAGCTGTACAGCTGTGAGTCAGGAAGCTTTACAATTAGTAATGGCCATTCTAACAACATGGCTGTGCCATGTCTACAGAAGGACTGGCATAGGTAGACCATTTTTGGCACTGTATTTGCACAAAGCATGATTGCACTGTCAAAACCCTATTGTACATGTTGAAGATTAATGGCATACACTTGAGTGAGTGAGTGAGTGAGTGAGTGAGTGAGTGAGTGAGTGAGTGAGTGAGTGAGTGAGTGAGTGAGGTTTTACGCCGCTTTTAGCAATATTCCAGCAATATCACGGCTTGGGACACTAGAAAATGGTCTTCACACATTGTACACATTTGGGGAATTGAACGGCGTGACGAGCTAACACTTAACCACGAAGCTACCCCATCGCCCCTGCACCAAGTGAGGTCATAAACATGAGCCTTAGGTGTGACAAGCAAATGCTTAAACCACTGAGCTATTTCACGGCCCAGAAGTGTCATTGTCCTTGCTAACCAGAGCCCCTACTTGCCACATCACATAGGTAGAACAAGGGGGTATTTCTGAAAATTATGCACATCTTTCCAGCCCAATAGAATATCTACACTTTATCTTACCCAAATTGCCCAATTTGATACTGATGAAAGTCAACCTAGAAATGAGAAACCAAGACCCCAAAAAACCTGTAGAAGTATTATTTATTAAAACAAAAGAATATAATTAATACCATATTTGACGTAATAAGCAACCAGCTCTAATAAGGGCCCACAGTGATATTTGCTAATATATTGGCTAGTGAAAAATCCCAGTTAGCGCCCCTTCCAATTGATCAGTGTACACATGACTTATTTATTTGTGTATAATAGGCACTTAATTATGGGTAATTAAATTCTGGAAAAATATATCTGTCGTGTATAATACACACAGACTTTTCTTTTGTATCATTTCAGGCTGTCAGCATAAACCATGAAATTTACGATCTTTCAACTCTGTTTTTTTTCCCACAAAAACGTTATTCTAATAAGAGTTCCCGATTTCTAATTTTGTGAGCGTCCTGGGCGCTTATTACGTTGAATACGGTAAGTCATGTTCAGAATTTCTGTCATGGTATAGTATTGTTATCTGGTGATGTTATCGAACACAATTAGGACATTCCTACAGATGTTGAGTGGGAGAATCATTACTACCAACACCTGCTCATTACCAACAACCAGTCAATAAAGATACGATTAGCAAACTTTGAATTACCCTCCACTAATGATGATCATGAAGATAATATTTGTTGCAATTGTCACAAACATCAAAATACTCCACATCCAAAACAATTATCATCTCATCAATATCGACCATCCACTAACGCACACTGTCTTACCATGTTTGCCTAAATAGCACATTGATGACGTTAGTAAACCCGTGTTGATCTGCACAGCTCTTATCTAAACATACTTACATTACACAGGGATGACTGTGTTCAATCAGCGATAATTCCCCAGTATTCTGGTTGTAATTGTCTTTGTAATGACTGTTGGCCCATCAAACAATCACCCAATCAAAGCCGCATAAGAGTGAACAGCTTAATGATGATTTAAATTTAAATGCGTTTCAAGTAGGGTTGGGATGGGTAACTTGGGTACCTGGGTCGGGTGGGTCCTGAGTAGGACCTGGGTACCCACAGTACTACCCGGACCTGTGGTTAGTCACGTGGTTACACCACAAGTCGCTAATGTTTGCATTTCTTTCTGACGATGCACACATTCCTTTTGACTTGTATATGTTTGAGTCAAGATAATGCTTCAGTCAACTTCAGCGAACGCATGATCTGATTGTTTTATACATGTATCTGAATAGTTTCAGCCAGGGCTGCTGAAAAACAATTCCCAATCAGACATTTTGTTCCCAATTCTTGAGACCTGCAGTGGGTACCCGGGTAGGGTCGGGTAATAGGGGGTCGGGTACCCGGGTAATAAATTTGGACTCGTCCCAGCCCTGGTTTCAAAGAACCCTGATTCTACTTGCTGCATGGTATGTATGGACATTCATCCCACTGACATATCCATGACTTCACTATACAATGATTGCCATGATTGCTCCAGCCTCCTTGTTGCTGAAGTGTAAGGTGGAGTAGAGCCATCAAGCCCCTAGTGTGAGTACGTCAGCAAATATACTAAATAACGTATACTATGCCCACTGCAGAAG